TGTTTCCAGGGACTCTCCATCCAAAAAAAAAGGTTAAGCGAAGATTTTTTGTTAAAGAAATGAAGAGGAATTGAAGGCAAATTTGATAGGAGTGGCTTAGGGTTTGTCAGATGTTATTTTCCTCTGTGGCTCAGCATTGTGATTCAGGGATTCAAATGATGTTTTTGACAAACTCAACCACTTAAAAAATATTGGCACCGCAATTGGAAATTATTCTCAAAAGTAGAAAATTTACCTGGAATTTATTATGAAATAATACTTCTCTAAATGTGCTTCTAACTGGATTTTTAAAAATCTTTGGCTGTTTTAGGCCTTCAGAAAATGAAGTTATCTGACTAATGGAATGTGGCGTGTTCCATTCTGAATTCTAAGCTTTCTGGTGAGGCTGTTTTAAAAGAGCTTAGATCTTTTTCTTTTTTTCCTCCTAGAATCTTAGTGTTAGGAAGTCTAAAGGATACAAAACATTATGAAGTTAATTCTTCTTGTGTGGCACGTTATAATCAAAAAATTGTAGATGAGAGAAAACAGAAGAAAAGTATGTCTCCAGTCCAGATGACAAATAACATACTGAAATATTTTATTTCAATTCAGATAACTTCATTTATTCATTAAACAATAAAATTAAAATCAATCTAGTTTATATTTCAGGCAATTTATAGAGAATTACTATAGACGGAAAGACTTAAAGTGCCATAAATATAAGATATATTTTGAAAAATGTTTTCAAATTAATACAGTATACTGAGTAATGCTTCTTCCTGATGTTCTTGACCAAAAAAAAAAAAATCTGTGTGAGCTGAATTCGTGGGTGGAAACTACTTTTGAGATACTTATAGTTTCCTCATTTATGAATCTCCTTGTTAGTGTGGCAGACAGAATTTAAGATGGGCCCCAATAATCCTTCCTTCCTGCTATTCATAGCTCTGCATATTCCCCGCTCTTTTAGTATGTGTAGGACCTGTGACTTGCTTCTAACCAATAGAATAAGGCAAAGGTGTTGGTATATCACTTCCATGATTATGTAAGATCGTAATTTCCATCTTGCCAGCAGACTCTCTCCCTTGCTGGTTTTGAGGAAGCAAGTCACCATATTGGGGAGGCCCACATGGCAAGGAACTATGGGTGGCCTCTAGCCAACTGCAGCAAGGAACTGAGGCCGGTGGTTCAGCATCCCAAAAAGGAATCTAATCCTGTTCAAAATCACAGAAGTGAACTGGAAAGTGGAGCCTTCCCAACCGAGGTTTCGGCTCAGACCCCAGCCCTGCGCGGCGCTTTAATTGCAGTCTCATGGGAGAACTTGCAAAAGATGACCAAGTTAAGCCATGCTCATTCTGCTGACTCTTAGAAGCTGGGAGGTAATGTGTGTATTTTGTGGTAATTTGTTATGTAGCACTAGCTAACTCGTAAAGTTAGTATCTGTGGTAGGACAGAATGATGATTCCCCCCAAGATGTCTATGTTCTGATCCCTAGAGCCTGTGACTGTGCAGATGTGATTCAGTTAAGGATGGGGTGGTTAACCAGGGGGAGCCAATGCAATCTCAAGGGTCCTTATAAGTGAAAGAGGAAGGCGGGTGAGTCAGGGGGAAATTGGAAGATGCTTCACTGCCAATTTTAAAGATGGAGGAAGGGGCCATGAACCGGGGAATACCAGAAGTCTCTAGGAACCGGAAAAGGTTCCAGAATGAATGCAGCCATGCTGACACCATGATTTTAGTTTAGTGAGGTCCATTTCAGACTTTTTACCTTCAGACTTGTAAGGAAAGAAAATTTATATTGTTTTAAGTGACTTAGTTTGTGATAACTTATTATGGCAGCAATAGGAAACTAATACAGTGTCTATGCCTTTTTTCTTAGCATCTAAGGACAAATGGCCTTCTTCACGGGTTCGTCTACTCCTAGACGAACTGGAGCCGTGAATATCTGCTTCCGTTTCTAGCAGTGAACAAATAAATACCGTGCCACTGAGCGTTGCTCTAGAGAAAATTAGCATTTCCCACAGCCTCGTGCTAATGTTTATCTTTCAATTGTTTCTTCTTAGGGGTCTCAGCACTCACTGTCTCAGTCAAGGATTGTTTGGGTTCAAAGAATATAATCTATTCAAGTAAGTGTTTAAGTGAATAGAAATTGGGAGTAAGTGTAGCAAGTAAGTCTCAGAGGATGGAATCATAATGCAACCGTGTTCTGTTTGCTTATTGCGTGTTCGTAACAGCTCTCCAAGGCCAGTTCTGACTTAGCCCTCTATGAAACCTCAGGCAGGCCCGTAAATGTATGAAGCAGGTTTGAGAAAATTCTCCAAATTTTCCAAATGTAGCCTCTACTCTACAGGCGCGTGCTGCTGACGCCAGCCTGTCCCCTTTGCCTTTTTTTAAAAATTAAGTCACGGGTCATATCCCGCAGTGAATAAGGAGTTTCAAGTCCCAAACTCTTATTTTTAGTACCTCCTTTGAAAGTCCTACAGTACTCTGCTTGGCACGTCACAGTGATCAGCATCTATTGGCTTGAAGCTTCAGCTGAATCTGCTTTAATCATCTTAGCATCCTGTAAAATATAAATACATGTGGCTTCGATCTTTTTTCCTCGTAGGATGGGATCAGGCATCCTAAGGGACCCAAAGCACTGTGGAGTATATTCTTCTTATCTGGCAGGTGATAATTAGGTACTTACAGATGCTAGAAAACAAACAAACGTCCACTCCCAGAACTGCTGATAGATATCATACTGAGATATTTTACATGAATTATTTTATTTCTAACAGAATGGTGATCAACCAGCCCTCAGGAATGGTGGCAACCAGGACTGCTCGGGGGGCCACCAGCATCTGTAACCTTTACTTCTACTCAGCCTCGTAGATGACTTGGCCCTCAACTCTCCTTGACCGTGTCTCTTAGTTCTTCTGGAGAGAGGAATCTGTTTGTCTCATTCCAACACTGGGGGCCAATCAGCTGTGCTCAGATGATGATGTCGGAGGACGGACTTGGGCAGAAGAGACCAGGCAGGCAGGACAAACAGGCCCACTACCACGCGGTCACACTCACGCGTTCTTCGGTCGGTAGAGCCACATCCCATTTCTTATCTGCTGGATGCTTCTTGTTTCCTGTGAACGAGGGAAACGAGTGAGGGCTCAGAAGCAGTGCCTTGCTTCTGTTCATGGTACTTCTGTATATTTGTCCCTCTTATAGAGATAGCTACATGGGAAACAGTGGGAGCCCAGGGACTGTGTTAAAGCCACCTAGGTTTGGCTCTGTGGGATGGGCCTGAGGACCTGGGATGCTGGTTCTCCACTGTCTTGGTGAGCACATTCAGAGTTACTTTAAAGATCTCCAAGAGCCACCACCCCTTAGATAGTTTATAAATTTGCTGACATGTCACTACCCCACATTGCATCTTCCTTCAAGTTACGAATTTTATTTTAAATCACAGGTACAGGGAGTTGAATCGGTCAAACTCATAAATTCACAATACAAAATGATCATCATAGACCCATGCAAGGCCCCTCTCTGGTTTTATTTATTTATGTTCACACCCGCTCCCATCTCCCCTAGGAGAAAACTGTTATATTTAGTGTGTATCCTGTCATTTTTGATTGCATTCTTCTAATCCTATTGTGGCTGTTTTGCGCACATGTATTTTGAGCCTGTGTAAATTGCATTATATATTTCACACAGTTTTGCATGTAGCTCCACATGTTGACACACTCACCAGCGATGCATGATTGTGCATTTTATCCATTGACTTCTTTGATCACGCTGTTGCTGTATTGCCCCATCTAATGGGAATACTGGCTGTCTGCTCCAGTTACTGGGGCTCTCTGCCACTGTTTGGGACCTCATGGGAGCAGATGGGCCGCTGTCAGCAGTGCACTGCCCTCCCCACCGTCGTCATCATACTAAATGTTCCGAGTCTTTCTCGAGTGTGTTGAGTTCCAGTCCTCCTTCCCCTCATCCACTGATCCCTGCCCCCCAGCCCTCTCCTCCGAGCCGATACCCACCGCCTCTGCGACAAGTCGGCAGAACATGATCCAACGCAGCCAGCCATGAGTGAGCCAAACCACAGAGCAGCTGGCACCGGAAATGTGATTTCTAGTGGCTTCTCCAAGGGCACAGCCCTGCGGCAGACCCCTGTTCGCTTTATTCGTTTAGGAAGTAAATCGCAAAAGCAGGGAATTAATTACAACCTGAAGAAGGAAAAGTCAGCTTCTCCTCAACAAAGTGACAACTGACCTTTCTCCTACTCATGATAAAAAGAGGAACAAAGGAAGGAAGGAAGAAAAACTATTATAACCCATAATATGATTTTTCCCCAAGGGTTCGTGTTATTTGAAAGGTTTGGGTTAGTTGGAGGAAATTAAATAAACCGTTATATTACATTGTTGTGCTTTTAGCTACAAAGTGTTCCCTATGGTGAACAACGTTTCCCGTGAGTTGCCGTCAGAAATATTTATCTGCCCAAGGTCCACACAAAATGAATTTTGCTGGGAAGCTGTTTTTACATAAAAAAAACCTACAGTGACATTTTCTTTCATGATGCTCACCCTGACAAGATAATGATGTTCAATGAATGGCTGGAATTTTTCAAAATCTCTCCCCCTTACAGAAAATCACACCAAAAATTTTTCAGCAGCTATAGGAAAATCGGAAAGGGAGAATCAATTTTGAGAGCAGCGAAAAGTGTGAAGAGTCTGAGATGATGTTTCTAAAACCAACCTTCCCTCTGCGAGTTTTATTTTAGGGCCCTGCTGTTGTGCATTGCAGATAATATCACCCGACGAGAACCGCGTGGGAAGAAGCTTCAGTCGGGCTGTTTGTTAACACTGGGTGAACACTTGATTCTGGTTTTTTCCGTGGTCTGAAAGCCCACTTCGGAGCCATTTGGTTCTTTGCCCTGTGAGCCCAAGGAACTTTCTCCAACACATCACACGTTGTATTTCAAAAGAACACCGTTACTGCGGCAGTTCAGGCTCTGCGCCTTTCATAAATATGTTTGTTTTTCTGTCTTACAGAAGCTGCAAGGAATCGATACTCCTGACTGTCATTCAGCCTTACCCTGTAAGTGTCCTGTGAGTAAGAGTGCCACCGTATGATCTCGGTCTTCTGGTCTCCTCCTCCCGCTCCAGTAAAACCACGACGACGAATAACAGCAGAGAATAATAGCACGCATTTGCAATATGAGTCCAGGATTCTTGATTAGTCGTATTTTGTACAAACCCAATCATTGGAGAGAAAAGAAAATAATGCATTTCCTAAATATCTGGAAAATCAGCTCTTCAGTCCTATGTGACTCTTACATCTGGAAATGACACGAAACTCAAGACTTTCTTGTAGTTTCCAGTTTAAGAATCATAAATCTAATGGGAATATCTAATTGTAGGAGGTCGAAGTGGGATTGTTTTTCTTACCCCCATCTAAATCATTTGGTAGGGAACTGGATATTTCATGAGACTTACTTTAAAGGTGGTTATTGGAGGGAATCTGGTCATCGTAATTTCATTCAACAGCCTCAATCAGGAGGGAGGAAGTGATTAAAATCTTACTGTCTTCAGTCCCCATGGTTTTTTGAACAAACGACTTTATCATGATGTAATCCACCTATTACGAAATTCACCCATTTTGAGCATACACTTCAGTGATCTTTATAAAATTGAGGTACACAGCCATCACCACAATGACAGGACGTAAGGGAATCGAGATTTGAGATCCAGTTGCCAGCAGTACAGCAGGCGATTCCCACACCTGCTCAGAACTCCAGTTTCCCATCTGAATGAGGAGAATGTTAAACCCTATCCCAGGGCCACCCTGCTCCTCTATCTCCTGAGTCCACGATTCCTTTCACGGAAAGCAGAGCCGGTCCGTTTTTAGATGGTTTCAGTTAACCCACATGTCACTCACACTTGCCTCAAATCTACCCAGACTTCTTCATTTCTCTGCAGTGAACAAATTCATTTTGGTAAAGCCAGTGTAAATGATGTATACAATAAGCAAGCAATTGAGCAATTATAAATTCCCAGTGGAACTTCAGGTTGACATTGTCTTTTCTGGAAAATCTCTCCCCACTTTATAACCTAGTAGCAGTGCAAGATCTGAACCATTTGACTCCGAACGAGGTTCTTTTTGCAGTATTGGCTAACATTTTGCCCATGCAGTAAATTTAGAGAGAGGAGTTTTGCCTTTAAGTTAAGGGTTGTGTCTTATGGCTCTGCTTGCTGTCTTTGCCATTTGAGTCTGCGTGACTTGTTATTCATATGAGTGAGTACTCATTACTATCGCTGAGTCATAGAACTTTCTTTTAACACATAATCTGGAATTTTCTGGACGTTCAGGTGGCTCTTGCTGTTGTGCTACATTGAAAGTCAATATTTAGCCACAACATTTAGGAGCACGTTCTTACGTTGGGCGTTGCATGTTCTTATGGCTACGCCTCTGCTCTTTGGTCCTTCTCTCCTTCTGGGTCATTGGAGATGAAGTCTCATCTTTGACTTGCCTTTGCCCGGCCCTCCTTCCTGAAATGCCCACCACGTATTCCACCCACGACCTCCTCAGCCTATTTAAATCCTTCTCACCTTTCAAGTCTCAGTACAAATTCTAAATGCTGCCTTAGAGTTTCTCAATATTGGCCCTGTTGACATTCGTGCTGGAGAATTCTCTGTCTTCGGCGCTGCATTGTGCACTATACGGGGTTCAGCATCATCCCTGGCCTCTACGCACAAGATGCCAGTAGCAGTTCTCTCTGAGTTGTGGCAACGAAAAATGTCTCCAGATAGTGCCAAAGGTGCCCTGGGGAGCAGAATGTCCCCTACTTGGGAATGACTGCCCTACCTAAAGTCTTCCCTTACTTATCTAGCCCGGAGAGGCTCTTGCCTCCTGTTTCAATTGAAATGAAAGAGTTGAAATCCCAAAGTTACTTAAATAGATACATTAAATGTAGAGAGGAGAGCAGATGGGAGAAGAAGAAATTGCAAATTTTTACCTATATTTTTGTGTTTGGATTTTCCTACAAGCAAATTGCTTTTTTAAAAATAAATTTAATTGAGTTTTATTTATTTGCTAAACATTCTCTTGGTAGTCAGGATTGACATACAGAAACAGATGACTGGCCAGACCAAAAGAAAGTCCATAGATTTTACTTTTATCATTGACAGTAAAAATTAGCACTTTAATTTCTCTGCAGCTTGCTGGCCAGCATTTTTTATGTTGTATGTCTTCTGTATAATAAGGTCCAGTCAAGACAGAAAACCAGCGTTTATACCTTCTTGTCACACTCCATGTGGGCTCAGGGCACCCCAACATGACCCGGTCACAGAACTCAGTCTCCAATGAGGCCCGGGGAAGGGGGCCTGGTAGAAAACCATAGGATCCTCAAAATTCTTTGATGAGAAAGATTTCTTAACAGGTTGCCACATTATATTTTAAGTAATATGCAGGGCTCTCTCTCTTCACCATTTTTCCTTTATTTCTTAGAAAAAAAAATCGTGGAAATGCAGAAGCAGAAAAATATGTCAGCAAATCTTTTCCCCAGAAACAACCAGTAAATATTTGGCTTGCCTTTGCCCGGCCCTCCTTCCTGAAATGTCCTCCTTCCAAGTCTTGTTCTATGCCTTGTCAGTAGCCCACATCATAATGTATGTACAGTTTTATTTTGCCTCTTCCACTTAACGTATCAAGCATTTTCCCATGTCATTAAGAATTCTACATGAGCATCATATGCATGGCTGTAAAACATTACATTGAACTGATATCCACTTAAGCAACTGCCTATCATTGAGCCCTTCGTAATGTCTTTAATGTTTTGTTACTGTAAATAACTCTGCAAAGAACATCTTCGTGTATAAATCTTTGTCGATATTTAGTTGTTTTTCCTCTGTACAGAATTTTAGGAGAATTTCTGAGTTACTCATGAATTTCATTTGTTTGGTTCTGACACACTATCATCTTTCCTTATACGGCTGCTATTTTTTATTACAGAACTTTCTTGGCTAGCTCCTTCTTTTCCTTCCCACGGTTCCCAAGTCCAGAACTTCCAGAACTTCCCAGTTCAACCTTACCTGAGACAGAGTATTTAAAAAGTCTCTGTAACCTCCCCTCACACAACCCCAACTCAGTGGGACTTGGGCTAAGTCATTATCGGTTCTGGTGTCTCTGAGCTACCATGATTCACATTCCCTCAGGTTCCTTCTAGGCCGAAGAGCTGAGGGACCTGCTTGCCCTCCTCTCACTTCCTGCCTACCTTCCAGTGTGTTCTACATACCTGAGGGGTGGCTACTCTCCTCATAGAAGCCCCAGTATAGCAGATGCTATCAGAACTGGGACCATATTCCTTTGGAATGTGTCATGCCAAGCTTGTCAGCCCAATTTCCAGCTGAGAGCACCAGTGATTCTTTGCCTGTGTGCTTTTTATGGCCACAGGAACATGCTCATGGAGCAGTCCAGAAGTGTTGAGGAATTATCACTTCTGGAAGAGCAGCCGTTTCATCGCTGATTGACAAATACCCCAGCCCCTTCTCTCCTCACTACAGCTCCCGAGGCTGTGGTCTGCCTTGTTTTCCGAGGCTGTTGGTAGGGTTAAGCTCCAGTTGCTTACAATAGTGCCTAACAACAATAAATGCTTTATTGGCTTACTGCCCTTCCCTACGGCCCTTCCCCTGCTTACTCACCATGCTTCCTGGGAGCACCTCCCAGATCTGCGACTTGCTTGTGCATCTTTGTCCTAGGGTCTGCTCTGAGGGGGCTCCAAGTAAGTTATCCAGTGATAACTGGGCTAGTTAGTCTTCACCAAACATTCCCTCAATGCCTACTGTATAATAGGACTGTAGGGATTGCAAGTTCAAGACCTTACACTTCGGTTTTAGAACTTAATCCTGTCTATGTAATTTTTGTTCAAAAGATGTTCTAGTCACTTCTAAGAGCATCTAAAAGCATCAGGAGGATGCCACACATTTATCGTGACCACCTTGGCGACAGCAAATTTTGAAAGAGGTGCAGGGGTTGATTAGAGACCTTCTAATCTTAAAATTAATTAACAGCAGGAGGATCTGATTATTCTAAATGGTAATTACTTGTCATTTCCACCAAAGGATATGAAGTGCTTGTGATCAGCACCTACAGGTCTGCATTTTGCTAAGAATTAATTCATCGGGGTTTTGAGTGGTTCACATTGTATATTTTTTGAGCCTCAAAGAGAGATCCAAGTTAAAACTGCAGTCATGACTGGTTTACCTTCCCCATGTATCACAAGTAACTCCAACCACTGGAATAAGCCACTCCTTTGTCGATTCTAATTGACTAAACTTCAGACTTGAAGAGCTATGTTTTTAGTATCAAAAGTCATTTTAATTATTATCAAAAATAATGAAATAGTCACAAATTCAGAATAAGAAAAATGCACTAGTATGGATTCTTAACGAGACTTTTATCCCAAGTCTGTTGACTTCCAAATATGTATAAAATAATATTTACTTAACTCCCGTGGCTATCTCGTTTGCTTTCAGGTTTTCTTAGATTACCAGGTTTGTCATTAGGGCGTGATAAATAAATATGGAAATGAGTCTACAGGAGATGGGTGTCCTATATAGCTATGGAGAGAAGACAGACTCGTCCCCAGTTTAACAAGTTCTGCATTATGGGGCCACTTACTTTCGGGGAAAATAACCATATATACTTCCATGGGGACATCATTGCATTCTAAGATTACATATCAAATGAAATGCATGAAAAAATGAAGTTCTGTTAAATATACTTTTTATCGAGACAAGGAATTATGTAGAACAATTTAGAAAATATGGTAAAATATTACATTAAAGAATTCAGATGCATAGAGAAATCCACCTCGGTCTCTGGTACATTGAACATGTGAAATCATCCTTCATTCCCAAACGATGCTGGAAAAGTGGGGTGTTACCACATGCTGACGTCTCATCTAATTAGTAGTGTCTGTTCAGAGTACCTTTATTACAGCCCCTTCACTTGTGCTAAACTCATCATGCCAGTGTAAATATCGCTTGCTTAAAATCATTGACAGAGAAGAATGTTTTCCCTTCAGCTAAAAAAATGGAACATCAAAAGCAAATGAACTCACTACTATATGATTTGGTCGTTAATCATTACTAAACTTGACCTATAATTACCAAGATACCGATGAGAACACCACTGTCACGTCATGTCAGCTGTGCAAGAGGACTTTTAAAGTCATGTTGAGCATGTTCAGAGCTGTTCTTTTTGAGGAGCAGCCATTCGGAGTTTTAGGGGAGTGTTTTCTTTTCTTTTGGTTTTTGGTTTTTGATTTTTGGTTTGGTTTGGTTTGGTTTTTTAAGGGACAGTCATTCTCTTAAAACGTCTTGCTTAAGTGAAGGAGTGAAGGCTCCAGAGGCTGAACCATCCATCCATCTATCCAGGCCTGACACTGTGGAGGGTAGAGGGGAACTTTCAGAATAACACGATTCCCCCAGTATTAATGCAAAATTCCACCCCAGAATATACCTGCCCGTTTTACTATGTTTTTTTTTCCAACAGTGATTTTGTTTTAGTATAGTGTTTTACATTATTCTAGTAAAAAAATACTCTATTATTATGTATTATATGCACATAACATAAATCTACCATTTTAACAATTTAAAAGGGTACGATCCTGTGGCATTAGGTACATTCAAAATCTTGTGCAACCATTGGCACCATCTAGCTGTGGAACTTCTTCATCACTCCAAAGGAAAAGCCATACCCCGTTCTACATCGCCCCGCCCCCAGCCCCTGGCAGCCACTAATCTCCTTTCGTCTCTATGGACTTGCCTGTTCTGGACATTTCATATAAAATGAAATCAAATCCTACAATATGTGGCCTTTTGTGTCTGGTTTCTTTGAATTGATGTTTTCGAGGTCCATCCATGTTGTAGCATGTATCATAACTTCATTCTTTTTATGGATGAATAATATTCCATTGTATGGATGGACCACATTTTACTTATCCATTCAATCATTGTTTTTTTCACTTGGTCTCAAGTATACTTGTATTTGATAAAGATGAGAATCCTTTTTTTTTTTTTTTTTTTTTTTCATTTTACTTGAAAGTCAAAGTACGGGACACCCTAATTGGCTTTTGTGCCTTGAGATTAATGCAATACACCAAGTTTGAGCGTCTGTGTTGATTCTAGAGTCAATTACTAGAATTCTTTACACAACAGCCTCAGTCTCTTAGTACTATATGTATTTGACCATTTTAATCTATAAAATAGCAATTGTATGATTCAAACTAAATATTTACCTCCATATGAGGTTCAATAGAGAATCCAATTCTTTTTAAAAATAAACAAATAGTGCAGACACCTAGATATGAGTTCCATTCCCCTCAGGTTTTATTAAACTTATGCAACAAGGATGATTCTCAGATGCAGTAAATTTACCAAGATGATGCAGCGCGGGATCGCAGCAGCCTTCTAAGCAGGATTTCCCATCACACTTGCAGTTTTAGAGAAAGAGGAACTGCATCGCTCAGCCCTCTTTCCAATACAAACTAGTACAAAGAACCTGTAAGAAAAGGCAGAATATGAGATTGACTTTCAATTGTAAGTCAAGACTTCCTCTGTACCCTGCCCAGTAAGCCCCTAGGGTCACAGGTTACCAACAAGAGGCTAAAACTCAAGTTTGGGTACATAAAGTGCGCGCACGCACGTGCATGTGCGTGTGCGTGTGTGTGTGTGTACTTGCCCGCTTACGTGCCCATGTGTCCTTAATGTGAACAAAAATGGGATTATCTGTCATTTTCGACCAATCAGTGGCTCTTCTACACCTTTTAAAATGCATAATTAGTGATCAACTCATCATAAGCCCAACATTAGATTTGACCAGCAGCTAGCCTTCCACATGGTACTCGAAGTTATGTATTAAAAGCAGGGTTTAGGCACTCTGACAGCCATCATTTAAAAAGATCCTTGGAAATGTAAGAACATGGAACGTGCTGTTTATAGTTCTGATCTGGTGACTAGTTCAAACTTAGTTATGAGCATTTCAGGGTTTCGATTGCATCTATAATTTCTATTTCATCCTTGAATTGGGCATGTACTAAAAAGTCAAAAATATTGCATATCTGGGAGGATAAAGATAGAAAACAAGGTTTGCATGATGTTACCAATAATCAGGTAAAACGTTTTCTTTCTTTCTTTTTTTTTTTTTAGTCTCCCAAATCAGCATTTATTAGTGCTGCAAAAAAGGCCAGATTAAAGTCCAACCCCGTCAAAGTGCGCTTCTCCGAGGAGGTCATCATCAACGGCCAGGTGTCGGTGAGTTGACAGTCGCCTGCTTGGGACACAGAGAGAGTCACTGAGACACTGAGCAAAGCCAGTACCCCACTGGAACGATCAGTCGGAAACTGGTGGTTAGACTGGACAGGGGTGTGGAATCTCAGGTGCATAAAGGCCTTGAACAATCACCAGAATCCGTAGGAGTCCAGTATTTCCTTGAATGCTTCCAGCGTTAGAGACCTCACTATTTTACAAAGGAGTCTTTCCGATTTGAGGTCACTGACATAGCCTCCAGTTGAGTAAAATATGGCTCTTTGAAACTTCTATTTCTTCCCATTCTGCCATCTAAGCTTTCTTTCATTACAGCCCTTTATGGATTTTGAGAAAGGTATTGTGTTTCTACTAGTTTTTTTCCTTACTCAAAATAAAATGTCTCTATTCTTTCAACTAATCGAACTGGAAAGAAGTTAAAATGATAGAAAACTTTCATGTATGCAAACAGAAATAAAGAGATACTGCCCAGATTTCCATCAATAGGTCTTGATAGAAATCATTTTTGCTCAGGTACATAATTGATCTTCAAAGAAAATAATGCAAACATTATTTTCAAATTTTTCCAAAAAAATCTAGCATAGTGTTTTTAGTTGTTAGAAAGCTGTCATCTAACACACTAATATTTTTTGGACCTGTGAAATGCCAACTTTTTTTTGGTTGAGGTTTTGCTGTTGCTGTTGGTGTTATTTAAATAAACTTATGAGGGTAAAATCTCATCCATGCCATGCTTGTATGGGTCACAAACTCTTCCCTGAGTGTGGTCCTACATCTGAATTCGAAGATGTACTCCTGCGCATCCAAGCGCCTTCCTAGCTCAAGCTTGCTGACCTGTGTCTGCCCACTTGGCATACGGGGAGTCAACTGACCAATCAAACTATTGTGATACTTGAGGGAGGTGGCCTAAGTCTGACATTGAGTTGCCCTGTGAGCGTTTTTGCTGTGTTCTTATCTTCCCAATAGCCATCTCTCATCCTTTCCCCTCTGCACCCCCTCCATTCCATCATACTCACCTCATCAGACCCCGTCTCTCTGGGTGCAGTTATCCTACAATACCATTTCAGAACAAGACTGTCCCAGCTTAAGGCTGGAAGAATCCTGTCACAGAAGATTCACTGTGTCACAGAAGGTCATGTGAAACTTACCTCATCTTTTCTCGAGCTTCCGATCATGAGATCAGGCAATCGGTTTATGCATCTGTAGAGAGACTATGACTGTAGAAGCTGCTGTGGCGGTTTCACTTTGTCCCGGGAGAGAACAGGGCTTGTCCGAGGCAGCTGGTGTGTGAGCACAGCTCTGAGAGGTCGATCATCTCATGCAGCTTCTGCCGCCTCACCACTGACCTGTGTATGGCAGGGACATTCAGTCACGTGTCCGCTCCTCAGCCTTTGTGACCATCTTCACTTCCAGTCTGCTCTTGCTCTTCCAAGTCACTGTGCGTCATTTCTCCTGGACTTGGAGCCAAACGAACTTAAAGAACTGGGTAGCAGGAAAGTCACGTGTGAAGTCCACAGGACTGGGAAGGAGAGGGAGGAAAAGTCTTTGGAAGAAATAGACAGTGAAAGACGTGGAGGCTGTTACGGAAATACTTAGGGGCTGAATTCTCATGGACTAACTGTAGGACATTAGCGAGCCTCTGAGCATGTCCTCTTCGGTTTCCTCATCGGTGAAACAAAAGGACGTATGGTTTCATGATTGCTTGGTTCCCCCTTCACTCCTGAGACTTCATGACCAGCTACACGTGGGTAATGCAGTTTGCTCCAAGGATTCGTGGAGCTCATCCAACATATCTTCATTCTCTCCCTTTCATCTCTCCTTACTTCTGATTACAGAGAAAACTCAAAGGAATGCATTTCTGTTGTTTACTTTGGATTGTTTCATTCATGTCTTTTTGAGTTATTTTTAAATTATGTTCTGTTTGTTACAGACTTAATGTTTTACTCCATTAACACACTAACCCATTCCTTGTATGTCTCCCATGAGTTGGAAGAACGTTCTTAAATGAGCTAAAAATCGTTTCACAAAATAACTTTACATCTGAAGCTGATTAATGCTTGTGGTTCACTGTTATGACCTCTACCAGGTCCAAAAGGCATCGCATCAAACATCACTGCTGTTTCTCGTTCTGCTTGGGACATACAACTCTGCTAAAGTCTGAGCTTATAGCCCCAAACACTGGCTTAGTTACAAAGGAAGTATTTCTGTAATCGTGTTTGCCAATGGGAAACCTTGATTTAAAAATTTAAAAAAAAAAAAAACCATCTGATTGATTTTATGATGAGAAAAGTTCTTTTATTTGAATCCACTGAGTTAGTTACAGCTAGAAAAGAAGAATTTTTCTATGAATAACTGAACTCAGATATCACCAAAGGGACACTTTGCTTGGCTTAGAGAGTTCAATTGTTTTTTTGTTGTTGTTTTTTTTAATGTTGCGTTAAAATAAATTATAGATATATGTGGCTGCTGCAATTCAGCTGACTTAAACCTCTCCCTCTTGTTTTGTTGTTGTTAAACAGGAAACAGTTAAGGATAATTCACTTCTTTTTATGCCAAATGTTTTGAAAGTCTATCTGGAAAATGGGCAGACCAAATCATTTCGCTTTGACTCCAGCACCTCCATAAAGGTAAGAGGTTCTGCCAAACTCTACCCAAGCACTGCCAGACAGGAAGTGAAAGCTGCACCGTGAGTCATGCACCTTCTTTCAGAACTGTTTATTTATGAGATTTTTTTTTTGTTACTTCCGAATAAGGTAGTGTGTGACTACTTAAAAACAAACCAAAACAGAAAAGCTTAAACTAAGAAGTTTCTGCTGTGTGCGTGTGTGTGTTGCGAAACAGTATAATACGCTATCAGTGATGAACCACTACAGTTAGTCATTTTAATGCAACTGCAGATTAATTAAAATAGAATGACTGTCACCAAGAAGGCTTGGCGCCCTGCCCAAAGCCAGCGTGAGTTTTCAGCTATGTTAGCCACCAAGATTAAGATGTTAGCTGTTAATTGAATATCCGCTACTTTGGTGTCCAGCAAAAACAAGGGATAGAATAATGTAAAGATAACATTTACTTTTAATTACTGTAACTAATCTCATGGAAATGATGCATAAAAGGCAAAAATGAGGCATGCTTCTTAGGAGAAGAGGTGAAAAGAAGAGTCGCAAAGCAATCCTATTACAGTCATTCCCCCTTATCCATGGGGGACATGTTTCAAGATCGCCAGTGGACGCCTGAAACCACATATAGTATATATGTATACATACATACATATATATCCTATTTATTTTCCTATATAGACACGCCTTTTTACTGAAAGGAAGTACTTTATGGCTTCTTTTTGGCATAATCGAACAGCCAGGATCACTACTCTTGCGCTTTGGAGCCATTATTAAGTAAAATAAGGGTGACTTGAACACAAGCACTGCGATGCTTTGACAGGTGATCCGGTCACTGAGATGGCTACTAAGTGACTAATAGGCAGGAAGCATATAGATCCTAGAGATGCTGGACAGAGTGATGAGTCACGTCCCAGGCAGGATGGTGCAAGATTTCATTGCTCTACTCAAAACAGCACGCAATTTAAAACAAATATTATTTATTTCTGGAATTTTCCATTTAATATTTTTGGACCGCAGTGGACTGCGGGTAACTGAAACCGTGGATGAGGGGGGACTACTATATTTCAGAGCCACAGGTGAGTTTGCATGATGGGTATTATAACAAAGCATATAGGTTTTTTCTCCCATGCTTCCTTCCTGGAAAAAAAAAGTACAGAGTTTTCTTTATTGGATAAAAGTGTGTTCAGAAATTGATTGCTCCCTAATGCTCCATCAGCCTAAAATAGGCTTTCTTCAGATGCATAGTGCAAAAGATTTTATAGAAGTAAAAAAAAAAAAAAAATCTAGTAACGATCTGTACAATAATGTATCAAGAGAATATCAACTCTATGTTAAAAATGTCTATCAATAGTCAATCCCTAATTCTGTTTTTTAAATTAATCAGCATAAACCTTATGAGAGGAAGCCTTTCTGCAAAAGCCCGCTCACTGTGCATTCCAATTGTCGTGATACAGGCAAGCAGCTTGTTTTGAATTGCTTTAAATAGGTAGTGATTTAGCAGGTAATAGAGCAGACAATAAGAGTAGATTGACAGTAGAGCATTTAAATCATCCCTAAATCATTCCAGATGAAATATTAACTTCCTTCATACAAGACAGCTAATTTTAAATGGTGATGACTGAAAAAAGTTCTTTTTCTTTATTCCTACTCAAAATCAATTATAGTGAGATGTTACTCTAATTATTGATCAGCTAACTTGGGGGTCGGCCAGCTTTCTCTGGAAAGGGCTCAAGAGTAACTACTTTAGGCTTTGTGGGACATTTGATCTCCATTACAACTGCTCGACCCTGCTGTTGTCATAGAAAGGTGGACTCAGGAGGTCCTTAAGACCACTCTCGGGTTCAGCAATTCACATGAAGGACTCACAGAACTTAGCACATTGTTATACTCGCGGTTATAGTTTATTCCTGCGAAGGATACAGATTGAAATCAAGAGCAGGAAAAGGCACGTAGGGCAGCAGAGACTGGGCATAGAGCTTCAGTTGTCTTCTCCCAGTGGAGTTATGCAGACGGTCTTTTTCTCCCAGCAACAACACGCGACAGTATGCATAGAGCACTGCCAACCAGGGAAGCTCACCCGAGCCTTGGCATCCAGTTTTTTGTATGGATTGGCCACGTAGATGCAGCTGGCCACCTGCATGGCTGACTTAGGACCCAGCCCCTCCAGAGGGTGAGCCAACACCACGTGGCCCAAGGTCCTCACCATAGATCGCATTGTTACTGTAGGCTATCTGGTGTGGCCTAAGGTCCCCAGGTAAACAAAGGCCCTCCTATCAGGCGGGACACACTGAGGTCCTAGAGGTTACCTTCTAAGAGCCAGGAGTAAAGAGGCAAACCTCCCCTTAGGCAAGATGAATCATTTGCTGCATAGACAGTATGTAAGTGAATGGGCATGGCTCAATTTGACCCCCATGCCACAGTCTGCAGGCCCCTGACCTAACTAACCCATAGAGCCGTATTATTATAGCTCCCTCTCACACAATGGCTTTATTCTGTGACATTAACTGGTCAGAAAAGCTGCTTACCATCAGACCCCCTCCCCCATCTGAAGATATTGGTAAAGACTTAAATGCATTTTTTAACAAATAAATCTGAAATTAGAAAAGACTCCTATTGTTAATTCCCTCTGGCCTCTTTAGTATAGGAACCCACACTAGACTGAGTTTGATTTCCCTGAGGATGGCAGATGACAATGAGAAGACAGGAAGCAATGCAAAAAAGTTCACATGAAATTATAGTTATCTTATCTTGTACCTAACAGCCTTATTATCGCAATAGACACAGGCTGGTAGGCATAAAATGAAAATAGTATAGTTATGAAAAGGATATGACACTGTTTTATAAAATTGCTAAAATTCTTGCTACAGAGTCACAGTAGGAAAAAAGTAGTGCTATCCATTTTTTCGGTATCCTCCCAGGTGATTCAAGAGAAGGTTTTATAAAGTATGTGTCGCTACACAAAGACTGGTTTTGTTTTCTCTTTTCTGGGCCTTGAGCAAAAATTATGAAACAGAGAGTCTTTTAATGAAATTCAATATAGTGAAGGCATTTCTGTTGAATGATATTTTTTTGATGATGGTGGGTGAGTGTGGCGATCTTTGTTAGAAATTGGAAAAGGTCCACAGAGAAGAGTCAAAAACTTAGAAAGATCGGTAAAAACGAAGAACTCTACATATGGCAGGGTTTCTCTGTCTTGGCATTGTTGCTACTTTGGACCAGGTAATTATGGTGGGCGCTGTCTTGTGTATTATAGGATATTTATCAGCATCCTCTGATGCCTACCATCCCCAACCCCGTCGTGACAATCAAAAATGTCTCCAGAAGTTGCCAAACGTTGCTATGGGGCAACAAAATTGCCCCAGTTGAATACCACTGCTCTGTAGGATTTTTAGCATTTGAGTATAAATTATCTTGAAGAGAGATCGTCGACTAGTTTTCAAGCGCATGGGAAGGGTAATGGTTGAGGATGTTAGTTTTGCATCGCAGGAAGCATGTTTGTATATGGACCACCTTTCTGATCCTAAATGTTTACTCCTTAAAGGACTGCTGTCAAAGCTTGCCCAATCTACCTCCCCCGGAGATTTAAAAGAAATGCTAATATATGTATATTGTTACAGTGCCCTAACTTTGTGCCGAAATGTGCTGCAATAGATGCTTTCTGAGTGTCGATTCATTTAGTCTATGTATCTATTCAGAGGCAGGTGTTATTATTACCCCCAGTTTATAGATAGAGACGCTGAGATACCTGGAGATTAAACAACTTGCCTTAAGTTACACAACTAATACACAGTAGAGCTGAGATTAGAAACCAGACTATATCAAAGCCCACATTCCTTCCCACCAGCATACTGCGCTTCCAGCAAGGTAGGCTAGGGAAAGGCAGGGGTTTTGTAAAGGGCCAGATAGCAAATATTTTAGGCTTTACAGGCCATACAGTCTCTGTCGAAGCTAACTGCTCAGCTCTGCCAAAGGAGAGCACGAAAACAGCCATAGGCACTATTGAAATAAATAGGCATGGCTGATTGCCAATAAAACTTTATTTACCCAAACAGGCAGCGGGCTGGATTTGGTATGCAGGCACTGTTTTGCTGACCCCCGGGATGGACCGCTTTCAGAGGTGTTCCATTGCCACCCCATTTAGAAGGAAGGGGACCTAACTGACCACACTGCAGCATCTATTGACAATATTTCTAGATTAAGAGCTTGGGTAATACGTAAGCACCTCACACAGCTCTTCGCCCTGTGGCCCGTTTCTGAACTCCATAAAGATTTGGGAGTGGGAGAAGCCAGGAGAGGGTAAGAGAAAAGTCTCATTTCTGTCTCTTTTGGGATCTTTGGATCATCAAGCTTCAGAATCAACCAAAGGTATAACACGTAAAGATCTGAAGCCAATGTGTGCGACACTGTTAGGCCACGGTAGGTGGCACGGATGGGCTGCCTCGGTTTTGATCGCATGTTGTCAATGTTTCTTCTGTAAGGATGTCATCTTAACCCTTCAAGAGAAGCTTTCCATCAAAGGCATTGAACACTTCTCTCTCATGCTGGAGCAGAGGACAGAAGGGGCCGGAACCAAGCTGCTCTTGCTCCACGAACAGGAGACCCTAACTCAGGTGTGTGGGAATACACGCTCACGTGATCACGCTGCTGCTGAGAGCGGAGGCCGCTCCACCCCAGCACCCCCACACCCACCCACCTCAAATCCTTTCCGTGTATTCACCCCCACTAGAGCAAGCGCCGGCATTAATAATGGATTTTACACCTCAAGGTGATATTTCCCTTTTTGTCAGTTTTTTTCACAAACTGTCAGTTGGTCTCAGAAACAGATTTGCCATTCAAAGACTCAGCAGCCACTCTTTGGGAATATGGCTCTGTAGAATTATATTTTATATCGTTGTAATGATTTGTTCACCTGTTTTGATAACTGATCTCTTGAAACCATTCAAAGAAAATGTTTCTGAGATCCTTTAAATCAAGCTGAAATCATATCTCGTCGTTTTAAGTTCTGGGTGTAGACTTCAGACTATTTGTGGCAGCCTGAAGTCCCTGCTCCAGTCCTGCCCACTGTAAACATGTGATCCACCAATGTGTCCCAGCTCCTGGCTGTCAAGATGCCACCCCCATCTGTTCTGTGGGGAGACAAGCAGGCTGCATGGCTGCTGAATTCAGCCCTGCGCCCTGGCTTTTCCTGTGATTCCACACATGCAGAGTCTTTGTTGGATGTATAAGAGATTTCAACAAATTCCTCCCGTGGAGGAGACTTCACTGATGAGGGAACTTTAGGCTCTTAGGTTCCTACATTCCTTCTTTCTGCTCTCCTTTACCATCTGCCACGGACGAGCAGCCCATAGCCGGTCCAGTCAGCTTTGCAGCCCCACCCGCAGCCAGAAAGCCAGGTCAGTGTTACTGCCTCTAGGGATGCCCAGTATGCCTTTCAAAGTAGGATGTGTTTTCTCATTGAAATTTTTCAACTCTATGAAGTCAGCCATGTAAAGCGTAAGAATATAAATACACGTGCACACACGCATGCGCATACCGTGGGGCTCAATAAAGCTATTGCTGTATTTCTTTTGAATTTCTAAACTGCAATTCACCGAGAACTTATTTTTGCCAGATTTGTCCCCTGCATAAAAGTAGTTATAAGTACATGAAACTACACACACGTGCATAAAAATTACATACAAGTACATAAAACTACAAGTAGAACAGCCGTGTCGGCTCATGCCACCTGGTCTTAGTTTCATCGCGTTGACCTCTTTGGGGCAGGGGAGGGGGGTAAGGTGGGCGGGGAGGACTGAAGAGCTTTCACCTTCTTTCTTGGAGGCTGATGTCTTTTCATTCATTCGGCTTTGTACTAAGCACTCTTCATTGATTAATTCCCTTTTGCTGCTAAAGGAGTTAAGAAGCTAACACCTAGTAGTTGGCATATACTGTGCTGGAAAAAAGGAAAACAAATCAAAATGATCCATGGTCCTTATCCCACAGGAACCCGTGGTGCAGTTTAAGCAAACTGGAATGATGTCACGGTGTCAGAAGTTCTGGGTAGTTTGGAAACCTGCGGACTCCAGATTTAGCACATAGGCTGAGACTTCTGTCTTCCTACTTTCCAATGAGATGTCATCCAAGGTTGACATCGTCATGCTTCCCCTGCTACACTCAGTCTGGAGTCTAATTTAGAAAAAACCCCAGTGGTGTTATGGAGTAATAAACTGTAGTGGGCAATCTCTGTGCTCCCTTGCTGGTCCCTTTCGTGCCGCCCACCCCCACCCTAGCTTCCATGGGCTATCGCAACATCCAGCATCTCCTTCAGGGGACTGCCCTTGGACTCCTGGCACCCATTCTGTCCAACCTGGAAGTTCAAGTCCCCTTGGGACGGCCCAAAGCCAATGACTTGTCTGTGCTCCTTTGGCTCAGGTCCCACGCCTCTGTGATGTAAGTTTCCCTCCAGAGTCCCCCGAGGGACAGGCTGTAGCTAAGCCTTGCTGGGTACCATGTCCTTGCTCAGCTTCTCCTACCTGCCCTCCCACCCCGTTACCGGCCTGTCTTGGGAGCAGTGCATAAGTAAGTCTCTTATCTGAGGGTCTGCTTCTGGGAACTCGACCTAAGTCACAAGGTCTGTGCACTTTTCAGGGAATGAGTTATCTTTCACAGATTCTAAAAGAACTTCACCCGTTTCTTTCCCCGATGTCCAAAGAAAGTTGCCTTTGCTTCTGTGTCCCTCGGCCGTTTCTCAGTCAACGCTGAGGATTCTCGTGATTGGTCTGCTCTTCTAGGTGACGCAGAGGCCCAGCTCCCATAAGATGAGGTGTCTTTTCCGAATTAGCTTCGTCCCAAAGGATCCAATTGACCTGTTAAGGAGAGATCCAGTTGCTTTCGAGTATCTCTATGTTCAGGTATGTGAGAATCTGTACATGATTTATATGAATGTTGTGGGATAAATTAAAATCAGGGGGTTTTTTTCCTGAATTCTTTAATTTGGGGATCTCTATCCTCCCACCTCTGTCTCAATGCATTGTAAAATGATTCCATGGTGCTTTTTTTATTTTCACTTTTGATTTTGAAATAATTTCATACTTAGGAAAAAGTCGTTAAGAGTAGAAAAAGAACTCTGATATCCTTCACCCAGATTCACCAATGGGTCCCATTTTATCGCATTGACTTTAGTGTTTGCACGTGGTTGTTCTTTCTCACGCACACAATTTTTTCGCTAAACCATATCAGTGTCGGTGACTGAATTCATGCTCATTTACCCTTAAATACTTCAGTGTATATTTCCTAGTACCAAGGACATTTTCTTGTATAACCATTGTATAAATAACAAAATCAGGAAATTCAACCTTTCTATTATCTGATCTATAGTTTATATGCACATTTTGTCTATTCTCCCATAAATGCCTTTTATAGAGAATAGGGTCCAATCTAGGATCCCATTGTCATATCACTTTAGTCTCCTTAAATCTGGAACATTCCTCAGTCTTTCTTTGGCTTTCAAGACCTTGGCAGGTTTGAGGAGTACTGATCAGTCATTTTGTAGAAATCTCACAATTTGGATTTCTCTGATGTTTCTTCATGATTAGATTGAGGTTCTGCATTTTGAGCAGATGAGCAACATGAGTGACTTTGTGTCCTTAGTGCATCATATCAGAGGCACGTGATGGCAGTTTGGCCCCATAATGGCAAGGTTAACTTTGACTCGTAACTACGGCGATGTTCTCCAAATTTGTCCATCTAGAAGTTATTACTTTTCCTTTTGTAATTAATAAGTAATTTGTGGAGAATCTCATTACAACCTTATTATCTTTTCACTTACTAGTTTTATTCTCAACCATCCTTGCCTGAATCCATTATTATTATGATGATTGAAAATGATGATTTTTCTAATTCCGTTATTTCTTATTCATTTATTAATTGGTATTCTACTATAAGAAAGAGTTTTCCCTTCTTCTTTATTTACTTATTTATTCATTCATTTATTTGGTGCTTAGATTGTTCTGAAATATGATATTACGTATAATGGAATGATTCATTTCAAGGCAGTAAAACTTTAGGAAGACAGTATCCTCTGCAGACTGTATATCTGATTCTGGGATATCATTTTCAAAAAACAAGGCCTCTAGAAATGAGAATCTTTGCTAGTTTTTCCCAATGGGAATTAATCCACTTGATATTTAGGTGGATTTCTCTATAACTGCATCCTCTTACTCTCACTTAAATTTCCAATATAACTACATTAAACAGTAAGAACCTTACCTGATGCTTAGGCATCTAACATTAGAACTACTCAGAGAGGTTGTAAACCTCAAAATGTAACCTTCCCCTACAGGAAAAAAAAGGGGGAAAGGCAAAAATGAGGAAAAAAAAAAAAAAAAAGACACATCTATTTGGCCGGGGATCCCTGTCTGTATAAGGCCGTAAGTAAGAAATAAAAAGCAAAGAAGTAGGAAAGTAAAAGAAACATTTGTCAACTCTAGGTAGTAGATATACTGGTAGATACTATTCTCAATATTTTCTTGTATATTTCAAAGTTTTTGTAACCTTCAAAAAGTTATGGGTAGGAAAAGAAAATAGGCAGAAGATAGCAGAGACAAGATCAATGTCAGCGGTTAGGAATGGTGACATAAAGTGGCACTAAGCCCTGGGGAACAGAAATTAAGTCAGAGAAAGAAGAAGCAGAATGTACCAGAACATTCCAGCAGATGGGGGCACTCAGGGAAAGGCTGGTTAAACACGCCCCGCCTCAGCGGTCTTTGAGGAGACTGACATTTACAGCTCAGTAGGATATTTAATGTTTACGAAGAGAAAACCCCATCATCGGGAAAAGGCAGGTCCTGTTCAATATACCCTGTTTATCAAGTAAAGAAATATGAAGTGCACTTTACACCATGTTTGACCCAGAACAGTGAAAGTGTCATGACTTGGGTTTTTTAAGTGTTAAATTTTAGTCACTTGAACCCCTCGGCAATATCGCTTGTTCCCCAACGGGCCAGGTAACCCAGATGTAACTGCACAAAACAGCCCGATTGTCGGCTGATCTGTTTCTGCATCTTTCCCATATTGCTGCTGAGAACCAGCCCAGGGCTTTGCCGCTGCAGCTCAGATCCTGTGCTATGTTTTTAGCTTGTTAATTGCAAATAAATAGTTACAGGTTCTGGTCAGTGCGTGGCTGTAGACAGTGAGATACATTGGTTGTCGTTCTCTACAATTATATGCTCATCCCCTTAACGAGATGATGTTTTAAACCCATCTTGCTCTGCTTCTCTTTTAAATATCACAAGCCCATTGAATTTATAGCAGAAGAATGTGGTTGCATGTGTCTTGGGGAAGGGAGACCTCTTAAGTAGACCCTGAGTACCGCTAAGCATGGTTCTGTCTAAGGGGTGTTCACCCAAGTCTAATGCAATTCATGGAGCTATTTCTTTTATAAAAGATGCATCTTTTATACCCTGGGACTGTCCTGAGAACAGGAGAATCTGTCCAGGGATACTGCCCTGGGACTAGCAGAAGATGGGTTGTGGATTAGCCGCTCCTTCAGTGAGTAGCCGGTGGGGGGAGGTGGAAAGCCACGTATGGTGAGCGTAGAGACCAAAATTAAGCTACCATCATCTTATATATCTTCCGCCGAGAACAGTAAATGAGAATTTCTTGGCCTCACACCCTCTGCTTCAAAATGCCTTGGATCACAGAATGTGCAGTATGTCTAAAATAACATAGCTGTCTAACATAAGTCAGTGGGTCTGTAAATGGTGCTATGTGCCCATGTTGACTTGAAGGTACTAAAAAGATGCAATAAAATTAGCCCAGAGAACAAGAGTAAGCAGAAGCAATATGTATCACATTACAAAGGCAAAAATTGATTCAACCGAGCGGGCCCCTAATAAGGACAAGTGGCCATTGACCAGGTGAACCGTGACAGTGCAAACAGGTTTCAATAGTGATGATATCTATTAATCTCCTAGTCATTAATGGACCATGCAGTATTTTCCAGATTTCAGCATATATAATAATAATCATCCAGTCTGTGCTAATTCATAATTAGAATTCATAATTAGAATGAGCTCTGCTGACATTTACCTGTCTACTATCCATTAAGAAAAAGATCGTTACGCCAATTAGTAAATAGGATAATACCTGAGACTACAACATGTTTTCAGACATTTTGGTAGTATCGGTTTCCTTTTTAACATCTAACATGTTCATTATAAATGAATTTTTTGGGGGCCTAAATTAGAGTCTGTTGGGACCTCTATCTTAGCAAAACAGTGACCACCACTTGCTCGTGTAACTGTATTTTAAGTAACATACTTGAGAGTAATAAAAGCATGATTAGTACCAAAATATATGTCAGACTTCACACTAATTCTCCAGGATCAGCCTGAACTAATTACATAATGTAATTAAGTGACTAATCACCTTGATAAAAAATTCACCCAGAAGTCTGGTTAAAATACAGGAGAGATAAACACACACACACACACACACACACAACACACGCACACACACGCACACACGCAGTGTAACAAGGATGGGAAAAACCATTTCCAGTTCCAATTTTTAGCAGAAGTAATAGTGATGGCTCACCTTTACAAAGCACATTCCATTTTATGAAACCTCCTTTCAAGTGTACCAGCGACCTTGAGAGTTAGTTGTTGTTAACCGATTTTTCATATAAGAACACCGAGACTCAAGAGAGATAAAAATGCCTTGTTCAAGGTCATTTGATGAGTAGTTCACAGAGCCTAGGATCGAACCTGGGGTTTCTGTCTCTAAATTCTATACTGAACTCCTGTTTCAAATCCTTTATGCAATAGCAATCACAGAAGAAAGAGATTTATCAAAAAACTGATTAAAGTGTCTGTTATGGTCTGGCACTGCGCTGAGGGCCCTCCTCACCCTCTTCCCTCCTGAGACTCTATAAAATGACCCTATCTGGGCCCTCAACTTTGAGGTGGCCCATTGCAGACAACCCTGGGCACTTGGAAATAACTGGTAAACCCAAGACTAGCAAAACAAAGTAGTAGCCTGGACTTGCCCTCAGGACCGGCCTTCCGTCAGGAGGCCCCATCTCCCACCTCGTGTCAGACCCATTCTGACAAGGAGCGCTGTGCAAGCCCGGTAGGTGTAATATTTTCAAGAGAAGCAAAGGTGGAAGACCATCTTAGGGATGGAAGGGGGAGAGAATGTGACTTCAGTCTTTGGAATGAAGGGATGGGCTGAGACGTAGCACATGAATAGGACGACGTGCATTGCACAGCGACAGTATCACATGGATAAGTATTCTAAGTGTCAGTATTGTGTGCAGAAACCATACAGGAGTACATTTCCTATTTAATAAAGTCCATATATGACGTCACAAATATGCTTCTCTTGGAAAGGAGGCAAACAAAGCCTGATAGCGTTTTCCATTCGAAATTATCTTGGAACAAGGTAAAGAATAAGAAAAAGAGAGTGTACATGTCATATTTTCTAGCCCCAAAGCCTAGTTTTCCAGAACAAACTATAAACACATGTGCAGAATATGCTTAAGCAATGCTGCGACTCAGCCCTTTGCTCCTAATGGGTGACAAGAATGTCACCCTAAAATCGCTAGTGGTCATGTAGGACTTTACACTTGACAACACTCTCAGCCACTCGTCAGTCCAGTGCTCACCACAAACCCTGTGAGGTGGGTGGCTCCCTTTTACAGGTGAACGAACTGAGGCCCACAGACATAGAATGACTCCCTCAGAGTCACAGTGGGGGCTGTCACCACCGGAATGGACTGAGGATTTTACTCGCTACTCTTTACTGAGCGCAACCAATGCGCTGTGATGAAGCGCTCGCTGTGCATCTCGTCTAATGCTCACACACTAGGGTAGCTGGGCTGAATCCCCATCGCACAGATGAGAAAATCGAGGCTTTTACTTAAACCAAATTAAGTACATTGGTCCGAGTTACCTATACAGGTCGTCGTTGGCAAAGCCGGACCCAGAAGCAGGTGGGGTAAGTCCAGAGCCGCTGCTCTCAATCGCCTTGCCAATTCTGCTCTAAATGAGAAAGAAGATGATGATGTTGACAACGGCTACTAGCTCACATGAGGGCTTACAGTTGACCAGGTAGAGTCTAAGGGCTTTACATCATTAACTCATTTCACCCTCACCACACCCTGTGAGTGGGGAGTATTATTATTCCTAGTTTACAGAAGAGGAAACTGAGGCACAGAACAGTTAAGGAACTTGACCAAGCTCACGCCCGTGCGAAGTGGAGGAACAGGATTTGAACCCAGGATTCCATCCCCAGCAGCCATCATGCCATCGGCACTCCCTGTGTTCACATGCAGCACCTGTGTTTGGAAATGTCATACCTTAATTCCTAATTATCTTTACAAAAAGCTAAATATTTAAACAGTAGCTCGCTTGTCATTGGATGTTGTATGGTTCCTGTATTTGCGAATGCAATTACACATTGACATGGTTCCAAGCAGCGCGATGGAACTGTTGCCACACTTAGCCTCTGGAGTGAGGGGGGACATGCATGTCACCTGCTCCTTTAAGGCAGCGCCCTGCAGCCCATCCTTTGACAAGCTGCGCCCTCTGCTGGTCTCTTTGCAGAGCTGTAACGATGTCGTCCAGGAGCGATTTGGGCCGGAGCTGAAATATGACATAGCCCTACGGCTGGCCGCCTTGCAAATGTACATCGCAACCGTTACCACCAAGCAAACGCAGAAAATCTCCCTGAAATACATCGAGTAAGTGTTGACTCCGAGACATTTTGGAGACAGAGATGCTGCCCACTTAACGCCCAAGTGAATTTTTGATCTATGTCTCTATTTCCAAGATCGATCTTGTTTGTGGCAGAGCATTTGTTAAACCTGTACAAAAGAGGTGAATGCGTGTTCATCTTTTTGGTGGAGGGGGTCCATTTCTGACATAATCTACTTTTAGAGAATTGTGGGTAAAATGAGGGTCATATTTTAAATGAAACACGATTTTAAACTCCTTGGTTCCTAGCCAAACTTTGGTCTCAGCGCTTTTCAGATATTAAGCTCTTTAATTCTCAAAACATCCCTATGAGATCAGTAAGAATTTAGGTCCATTTTACAGATGAGCAAACCGAGGCACAGAATGGTTAAGTAACTTGCCCAAGTCATACAGGCTATTTACTAGAGGGGGCAGGATTCGAACCCAGGCAATGGGAGTCCGCATCGCACTGTAGTTTGTGTGACCATTTGAAGCACCTGTGTTTAGAAAGTGGTCTGCATAACCCGAGATTACTTTTCAATGATCAAGATACAGTGTAAAAAGTGATGTTCTCAGTCGTAATCAGGAAGGGCAGTATTTGTAGTAAAGAACTGTGACAGGGTAGGGAAGGGTGCGGCACAGTGACACTTTGCTCTGTGAATTGAATGTTGTTTGGGAAGCGTGAATGCCTTGTCTTGCTGAGTACCCACCCACAGCATCAATGTACTGCCTCTTTGGCTGGAGAAGATCCCTCTTCTTAGATAAAAGCAATGTGTGTTGCCATCAGTTGATGAGTCTACTTAAGGGCTGTCCTTAAAAAGAGAACCCTTTGTCGCTCAGTTTGTATGCTCCCTTTGGCAGGTGATTCAGTACTCTAAAGCAGCCATGCTTTCTGAATCCTGGCAGCTCTAATGCTAAGAGAAAAGAACATTCATATTTCCAAGTTCATGGCAGGGCTGTAGCCACATCTCCACGTAACACTAAAAGCCTTAGCATCCTTTCCACCTCTACCTCCTAGAGATGTGCAAGCTCATGAAATGGGCTTCCAATCCATGGGCTGTTCCAGCCATTCTAAATTACACAGTGCCAGGCTGACCACCAGGGGGCAGAGTGGCTTCTTCTTGACAGGCTCACGAGCCTGTGTTGAGAAGGATTAGAGCTGACGCTAACCCGCTGTTCTTGCAACTCTATTCCACCGTCGATGACTAGGGACAAATCCTTGTGTGCTGTTTGAGAACCTCAGATCTTCCAGTCTCAGTCCACTTATTTCACAGGTGGTTTATCTCTTTCTTTCTCGTCACACATTCCGTGACTGTAACCTGAGCAAGACTAGGCTCACAAAGAGGTCTCACACTTCAGATGAACACATTCGCACCCTCATCCACTCCCCTTTCTGAAGTTCTTGGGGATGGATAAAACTGGCTCCCATTTGAAAAGGTGGCCTACACAACTTGAGATGACTTTCAGACAACTGAAACACATTTTTGTTCCTACTCTCTCTCTGTACCTGGTTGAACATGGTACAGTCAAAAACCTCCAGAGATAACCAACTAGACTAAGAATCTTGCAGTCTACAATAATGGTCTCATTAATTAATTCATTTACCCAGAAAATGTTCATTGAGCATTTTATATGGTATTCACAGTGGGACAGTAAAAAGTACTAAAAACTATAAATTATAATCTTAACCGTCAAAGAACTTGTGATCTGATTATAAAGACAAAACATAAAGATATGAAAAGTAATGATTTAAATAATGATACAAGTAGAGTTACAAAGTAGCCCATCAGGAGTGCCAAATGACGGGAAAAGATAAAACTACAAGTTGAGAAGAAAGAGGAAGAAAATGGTGATCACAAAAAAACACAATCTTACCTAGTGAAGAAGACCATGAATAGCCAAGTTAGGGAAGTCTGTCTTTCTATCCTACTTTGGAGAGGTTTGGAGCAGGAGAAATAACCAGAACCTTCTCAAGGGTCTTCGTATAATTTAGAAGACACTGGTTGGGCACGTGATCAATAACGATAGAGTTCCTAGAATTCAAAATATGGAATCTTCTTAGGATAGAATGTAGTCATTGCTGGGGAAATGGACTCCTGGCCAAAAAAAATATATTAACCCGGTCCCACTTTTTTTCTTGTATATTCACATGTATGAGATGTTTTCACCTCCCCATCAGTAACACACATACTTAAGGGTCATGACACTTAGCCTATGTCTCCGCCAGCAAGAAATGTTGACAGAAGAAGTTAGGTAGACGTGAACGGGCTGGGAGAAATGAGAATTGTATGTTTCTGGAGAGATAGCCACTGATGAGGGAGATGGGGAGGGAAGAATGGTTTGGGGGCGTGAAGGAGTTGCATCTGTCCTCAGAGAAGAGAGGAAGACATTGTGTGGGCAGGCAGGGAAAGGTGACGATGAAAATGAGCAAAGGGATGGAGAGAAATTGGTGTTGGAAATACAAACTCGGATACCAGATATACGAATGAATTCTAAGAGACTCAGAGGAAGGTTGGATAAAGTGCCCTCTTCAATTTCCATGGGTCCCTTTGCATTCTCTCTGGAGACGGAGGAGTACGTTTCTTTTAAAATGCAAACATATGTACTAAAGTTCAAATAGTGTTTCCTGAGTGCAAATTAAAAGTCGCTTCCCTAATTGGGGACTTGTCACCATCCCCTACCTTGCAAAGACTTCATTTGTTCCAACGAACATCAGAGCACCATTTTGTCTTAGATAACTCATCATCACAAGAATGTGAAATTAAAAATATACTCTTTATTGCAGAAAAGAATGGGGATTAGAGACTTTTCTTCCTTCTGCTGTGCTGCAAAGCATGAAAGAGAAGAACATAAAGAAAGCACTTTCACACCTTGTCAAAGCAAATCAAAACTTGGTACCACCCGGTAAAAAGGTATCACATTTGCATCTTAATAGAAAATGGATTTTAAAGAGAGGCTTGCATGCATTTTTTAAAATGTTTAAAATTAGCCCATGAATAAAATACTTAGCACCATATTTTCAGATGCAGTAACACTGCCTAATCTTTTTTTTTTTTTAACTATTAACATGTTTCTAAGACTAATGAAAAATAAGTATTCTCATGGAAACCTGTTTATTTCTTGCAGACTATAGGCTCCTTAGTATACGGCGTGGTGTGTTCACAAGTGCATGCAGGAGAACCTTGCATAACCTCTGATTAGAGAGGATAGAGTTGCAAGATAATTTTACGTTTCCATCATGCTCTTACTTTGCTTGCAGAACAGATGCCACACAAATTAAACCAGAGTTCTCTACCTCAGCGCTATTGACATTTGGGACCAGATCATTCTTTGTTGGGGAGAGGGACCATCCTATGCATAGTGAGATGTTTAGCAGCATCCCTGACCTCTACCCACGAGATGCCAGTAGTACCCTACGCCCTCAATTGTGACAAACAAAAATGTCTCCAGACATGTGCCCTGCAGAACAAAACCACCCCAGGTTGACGGCCACTGAATTAAATCTTACTTTTGGAAAAAAAGAGAAATTTTTTTCTGTCATTCACCATCATTAATGTTAAAATCTCTTTTTTAAAAAATCAGGTAGAAGAAACACCGAGGACATTTTGAAATATATTCTTGGTCAGAATAGACAGCTACGTTTATAGGTAATAAAAAGCCAAGGGTTTCAGGAACCAGGAAGATAAAGAGCCTAACATTACTGGACCTAGAAAATTGGAAGAGGCCTGACAGCCCCACATTTTCCAGCTGATAATGGCCATGGAATCTCGTGTGACTCTAATACAAATCACTGTTTACTTGGGCAATTCTTTGGTCTTAGGATCCGATTTTCAGTAATTTGTACTGGCCAAAACATGCTTATTTCTATTCCCTCCTCACCCCGTGGCTTTTTTAAAACAAATAATCAGGTTCAACCTACTATCAACACCTTCGACTTAACTTCCCAGTTGATGTAAACAATCAGCTAACAGAAATCTAGCAGGACACATCATGGATCAAGATTTTTTAAATTTTGGTTCTGATTTGCCCGAAGCTAATTTCCTTTAATTAACTCGATAGGATTTTTTCCAAGCCTGGCCCCGCTGGTTTTGTAATAATTTGGATAAGTGCTCTAGGGTCGATCTATCTACCTATCTATCATGATTCTTCTATAAAGGTCATTCTTTCTAGCTAAGAGTGAGTGGTTTGCTTTTAAGTCGATTTGCAAAGTGCTTTGGGTTTTTGAAAGAAATAGGATGGAAGAATAGTGCTCAGTAAGAGTTACATAAAGGGTAGGGCACTTAGATGTAGTTAACAAACGAGTTGGTAAATTCATCTGCAGTTGAAAACAGAGTTTAACAGTCGTTGGTGCTCGGTGGTCTTCACCTTGTTGGAAACTCTCACCCCCAACAAATGTACCTGACACATTCAGTATGAACCATGGACATTTTTTTTAATCAGATGTTTTTTTATGACTTGGGAGTCTACATGTTTAAGTCTTTATAAAGATAAATTTTATCTGAATCAAATGTTATTTGTAAATCTTTCGTGAAACTCAATAGATTCTTGGAGTTGAATAAAATGGGCACTTTTAAAGCAAGTTCAACCATTTCTGCAGTGATTGGATCCCAGAAAGTTCATTTTCCCTAAGAACTTACAAAGACTAAGAAGCTTGAGATGGGCATGCAGAGCCTGTTTAAGGCTTTATATAGATTGTAGGTGTGTGTTAAAATCAGCTCCCACAAACCCCCACATAGGTAAGTCTCCTGTGTAATGGAAGAATGTATAATACCCACCTTTGTCCCTAATTGCAACTGGAAAGCACCACTCACTTCTTGAAATGTCCCCATGAGCAGATGTTTCTGTGGAAAATGTTATCATCTCGTTCTCACTTGTTGCGTGCCCTGGCCCAGCACGTTTGGACTTATGAGTCCCCCACGTTTCCCCCCCAAATAAAACTACTTTAGTCCGAGTGGCCTGTTGCAGCCCTATGTCAGGAAACCAAATACAGAGCAATTTCCTTTCATTCCTCTGAAGGGTCCTTGGCATGCCCCACCCATTGGCAGAAGAGAGTCATCCTTCTAGTTCGCCCTTGTCTTCAGCTGGTCTCCAGCAGGAACAGAATCGCCCCTATGGAGCTAACACCTGAGTTTTCTTTTCTCTCCTCAGCTCTCTGCACTGCAAGCCAAGGTTCATTATCTCAAGTTCCTCAGTGACCTTCGGTTGTATGGGGGTCGTGTGTTCAAGGCAACATTAGTGGTAATTTCTTTTTCTTGCTCTTTCTGTGAAGCCATGGAGGCCTACAAAATGTCACTGCATAGGCTGTCTTGAATTAGCTACCTTTGATGACAAAAAAAAATCCATCTGTGAATCTTCTCATGCCTTCATTTCTAATCGACTGCACCGCAGTCTGAAAATAGCAGAAGAAATGTTAAACTAGATAATACCAGTGTAGAATGTCCCAGAAAAAAAAAAAATGAGAAAAACCAAGAGAATTGATGCACTCTGATGATGGCTTCCCTTTAAACTATTGGGCCAGAAGTTGCTTTCACATTAAAAAAGAAAAAAAAATCCTCATTTGTAAAAGCCCCTCATGATTGCGAATCTACGTGCTGTGTGTGATAACATTTACTTTCTGCATTATTCCTAATTTATCAGAGCCTCAATGCAGTCATATATCTGTTTTTTTTTTTTTCTAATTAGATGATTTAGTACAATGTAACCCAGAAACGCTTTCTAAAGAAAATTCACTCTTGTAAAAACATTCTCCCAGGTCCAACTTTGCATGGCACGTCAGAAGTCTAGTGTTTTTATATTTTGTCCACGTCTCTTTCTCAGCAGGCAGAAAAGCGCTCGGAAGTGACTCTCCTGGTCGGTCCCCGATATGGCATAAGCCATGTCATAAACACCAAAACCAATCTGGTGGCTCTTTTAGCTGACTTCAGCCATGTCAACAGGATCGAGATGTTTACTGAGGAGGAAAGCTTGGTGCGGGTGGAGCTCCATGTGCTGGATGTAAAGGCAAGTCCTCAAGGTGTTGACATGGGGCCTTGATTGGAACAGCTCACTTCTGATAACACGGCTGATATTTACAAAGCAGGCAAAATCTCAGCGTGTGCCGAGCATCACAGGTGTGATGTGGTGCAGGAAAAAATCTACTCAACTCAGGCCCGAGGGCCCCAGCCCTCACTAGACAGCCGTGTGATTTGGGTACAGGTCGCCATTCTTCTGGGCTCAATTTTTTCTTCTGTACATGAGACAGCAAGTGAGTTCATTTCCAAGGTCACTTCTGGCTCCAGAACATATGAATCATAAATAGAAAAGAGGGAGGTTTTCCCAACTTTGTTTAGAACTCCCATTCCCTCTTGTTAGATTAGGTCCATATGTATTTATTCTTTTGGGAAAGCTGAGTATTTTAGCCAATCTGTCTTTTTGTGCTATAGTAATTGGTACTGGCTGAATATCTGGCCCCAGTGAATGTCATGGCCATTCCATTTAAAACAGCAATTTGAGATTGTCCTCAAAGGGTAAAACTTTCCTTCCTAAACAAAGTTGACAAGACATAATCCAGGTCTCCTGTCCCCTACTTCTTGTCCCAGTAATAGATGAGGCACTGGACTTGGGCAGGGTTGATGTGTCCAGTGTTTCTATGGAGATGAGGCACTGGACCTGAGGGGAGATGATGTCACAAAGAAAACTGTCAACCAGGAGGGGTGCTCTGGGAATGGTGGGGAGGACTCACTCCCACTCGGGTGGTTGGGAAGAGCAGATGAAGAGGAAATGAGACTTTGGTAAAGGGTCTACACAGCACATCGGTGTGCTCTGCCGCAGGAAGAGATGACAGTGAGAATGTGGTGCTCCGACATGTTGGCCATGGTCCGTGAGATTTCATGGGCTGAATCCAGGGGGCTCCAGTTGACCTCATAGCAAGCTGAAAGTGCCAGAATAGACTTGGAATGCCAGGCCCAGTCCATGACCAAAGATGCTGAGAACAATGTGTCCATCATGGAAAATGGGTACATTGGATGTAGTCATCACAGACCTGCTAACAAGGATAATCCATCCCAAACAGAAGTGGACAGCAAGACCCTATTGATGGTTTCCCGCCCATACGAAAGAACTGTGAGGTGGCTTGAGGGAAGACCTCAGTTGAAATGG